GAGGATGTCGTTTTTCAGAATCAGAACTTTTTCTATGAGTATGCAATTCGTACAGGTGATGAGGCACTGCAGGAAATCTGTCTTCGCTACCTGGCGTGGAACTGTGAGGCACTGATCCGTTCCCCAGCCTGGACAATTCTTCAGTTTGGTCTGGTCAAAGCTCTTCTTTCTCGGTCAGACCTTGTGGTGCGTAATGAAACCGTCATCCTGAGAGGCCTGGAGAGATGGGTGGCAGCTCAAGGAAACACTACTATTCCTGAGAGCCTTCTCAAGCTCATTCATTTCCCAATGATACCAGCTGAGGACTTATACACACTAGATGGCGCACAGTACCATGCCAGTAAGTTGCAGGGTTTTCAGTTTAATGCCCTGCCTGTCATGATGCTGCTCAGTCACCTGACAGAAGAACAACATGTCTACACATCCAGGATTTACACAGGAGGTCCATGGAGCTTTAGCTTCAGCACTCAGGACATCAGTGCCTACAAGAATTTGGGGTTCTACAGGCTTCGTGGCGAGAGCATCAGTAGTCTGACATCTGATTTTCAAACACCTGTTCATAACAGCGCTTACTTTATTTTTCACAAGATGCGCTGGAAAACCAGGGTATATATCCGTGATGAAGACTGCTCAAGTGAAAGTGTCTCTTGCCCTTCCTTGCCAGCTGTCAGTTTGAAGATTCAAGAAAAGAACCATAATTTACCCAGTGAGATGGAGGAACGTATTCGTTACAGGAATAGGCTTGTTGTTATGTGTGAAGGCAGGTATGTGTCCTATGTTGATGAATTTAATGGAGTTGATGACGGGACTCTTGTATTTGTTCCAAGTGGCACAGAGCAAGTCTATACATGCCACTCAAACCGGTTCTCCTACCAAGTGGTGGTACATCCTCAGTACTCCACAAACTAGCTGTGGTTTTCAAACATGAATATGGATGAATGAGGAACAACATACTGTAAATGGATATGATTGTATATGACTTGATAAAATCAATAAACTCTGTTTTGCTTAGTGTGCCTTTCCTCTCTGTGCAGCTGAAGTTAGAGCAGGATACTCTGGTAAACAGAGAACCCAAACAGAGGGGAAACATACTCTGAATTGACCACATGTAGAGTTGTTTTTGTATTGGCTCTGACCAGCTGATACTGAGAATATTTAACAAGATGAATCAGCATTTCATTAACAATGCCTAAACCCAGAATCATAAAAAGTTGGGGTGGTATGTTTTACAAATCACTGTTTTCAGTTTTAA